GAAGTATAAAAGTCCTAGTATCTACCGTTCAAAAGTTATGGCCAAAGTAAAAATTTAATTTTTTTGTATTTAAGTGGGTCAAACTCCAAGGTCTAGGTCAAAAGGTCAAATTTGGTGGTACCCAAAGAAAGGTATTGTCACAAGGAATAAACATGAGAAATATGAAAGTCATAGATCCACTTCATCAAAAGTTATGGGTAAGGTTAAAGTTTTTGCGGACAGACAGAGAGACAGCTAGACAGACAGACGGACACGACAAAAACTATATTCCTCCCGAAACTTCATTTACAGGGGCATAAATTACCCTTTCTTAAAAAGAATGGACAGTTTTCCAAAAAGAATGGACACTTGCAGGTAACATAAGGGTCCTCCACACACATACAACTTATGTTCTCATATTATTGAGCATAAATTTTAACAATCATATCAACCTTTAAAAACTGACCGGGGATAAAAATGTAATTTATCTGGAATTTTTAAAATAATAATTTCAAAATATTTTCCCCAAGGCGTTTTCATTTGTAGGACCAAAAATTTTGTCTTACCCTATCGTATATTTTTATGCTCACAGAATAACCATAAAAAATTAGTTTTAGTGATCAACATATTTTTAAAGATATTAGTTTAATTTATTTAAAAAAAACTCATTTCCTCTCAAATACATCAAGAGAAAAATCAAAAATGTGCATTTTTCCTATGTTTTCTTTTATGATCTTATAATGTACGTATAAATAATGTAAGAGATGTAAAATACACTTTGAAATTAAGTATCTCTGGAAAATACAAGTGTAGTCCTAAATTTTTTTAATACAAAGAGTCATACCTGCTAGCTTGTTTTGATTTTGAAAGTTTTCTAAAAATCTTGTTCGTCATAAGAGTATTGAACAAGAAAAATAATTGTCGTGTTACAAAATCGCAACTATGAAAATATAACACTGGTCCACAAATGATTACACACATGTACATTTGTAGTTTAATCTTGAATTGAAAAGGTACATGTATCTATAAATAGAAACAGGTGATTTCCTTTTAAATACTTCAGTCGCCCGTGCCGTCAGTAAGGCAGCTATGGCTCTTTGAATCAACACTACCTGAGGATGCTTCTATAATGATATGACTATTTCTGTATTTTTTAATAATTTAATTCTTTCAATAAGACGATTCCTATATATTACTATGTAAATACCCTCTGTTGTGCCCCACAACCCCAAGGGGTCATAATATGAACAAGCTTGAGTCAACAATACTCAAAGTTACTTAAACACTAAAATGCTTTTAAAAAGATTAATGATTTTATTAATGATGGGAACATCTTTATATGTTTAATTCAAGGAACAGGCACTGCTCAAGAAATCTGAACAGGCGACATGCCTAATTTAGTTCATGCAGTAATTAACGCAATGAGTTTTCTTAAGAAATAAAGGAGAAATATTCAGTGGATGTAAATATTTCTGTATTTATATGATAAACAAATTGCTATGTTGTTCTAGGGAAGAAGGTTCTTAAATATGTTTTATGTACGATGTATGATCAGGTTCTCCAAATTGATAAATAGGTTCTCTTTTTAATTTTTTCCGAGTTCTTCTTATTAATTTAGATAATGTATCATCCATTTTTTGTTAAAAATCAATATATTCTATCATAACCTTTCTAAAATACTTTATATATATATATATATATATATATATATATATATATATATATATATATATACTCACCGTCAATAGAAACGCAACACCCTAACTTTAGGGTAAAAATTATATACAGGTTATAACTATGTACCAAAAAAGTTAGGACATCTTTTACTTTGCCAAATCAGTTATTTTACGGCTGAATGAATTTCTTTCCATTACCGGAAGTTGCTTTTTAGCCCTCTTAACAGAATTCATTTTTAATCCATTTTTAATAAAATTTTAACAATATTTTGGGTTTCCAAGGTTTTGAAACTGTTAATCATAAGTATTGTACTAAAAAGCCGGGAAAAAATCCTTCTTTCTTTACCGGATGTGATGCCTATATTTCTTCAAAATGACCGATTTTCATTGCTAATGCTGGAAATTCTCAAAATAAAGAAAAAAAGAGCTGCAGATACAAATGTACACTATAAAACGACTCATCAGGCTATTGTGTTTCAATAGCATACATGACAGTTTCTTGAGCGGAAGTCAAAAAGTTGCTACACTACCCCAGGTAAGAGAAAATTCGACCCCAATATCTGAAAAACATGTATTTAAGATTATCCAAAAATATCAATTTTGCTCAGATTAAGACATTAATAAACTTAATGCATGGTAGAAATCGGGCTGGATTTGTTGTATATGGCGGACTAGCACGTTTTCATTAAATGGTCGGAAGGGGGGATGTTTTAAGATTTACCAGGTATGTGTTTCTTTCTAAGTCTAAAAATAACATTTAATGTTTAAATAGAGCATAAATGTTTTGTAAATTTACTTTTTACCTAAATATATTCATTTTTAATGTTATCATTAAAATTTAGAAGGTAACACACAACTCTTAAAACATCCCCCCTTCTTGCTATCAGTCATTTTGAGGAAATATAGACATCACATCCGGTATAGAAAGAATGATTTTTCCCGGCCTTTTAGTACAATACTTATGTTTAACAGTTTCAAAACCTTGGAAACCCAAAATATTGTTAAAATTTTATTAAAAATGGAAAATATTGAATTATGTTAAGAGGGCTAAAAAGCAACTTCCGGTAATGGACAGAAATTCATTCAACCGTAAAATAACTGACTTGACAAAGTAAAAGATGTCCTAACTTTTTTGGTACATAGTTATAACCTGTTTTTAATTTTCACTCTAAAATTAGGGTGTTGCGTTTCCATTGACGGTGAGTATATATTATATATATATATATATATATATATATATATATATATATATATATATATATATATATATATATATATATAAAAGAGATAACCAATTTCAGAATGTATTTCAATTTATATAAAATAATGACTTAGGGGATTAATATATAATAAGCTCACCTCAACGAAGTTGGGGGGAGCTTATGTGATACCCTCGGCGTCGGCGTCCCAGGTTAAGGTTAAGTTTTTTGGAGCAGTTTTCTTTTTAATTACTTCTGTGTCCTATACTGATTAGACATGCATGGAAGATGGTTTTAGTGTGTTTTATTGTACCAGACAAAGTTTCAGATGCTGCAATTTCAGCAAAGGAATTACCAGGTTAATGTTTTTTGAGCAGGTTAACATTTTTGGTGCAGTTTTCGGTATGGGTTTCATTTCCAAGTAACTATAAGCCCTATGTTGACCAAACTTGCATGGATGATACATCTAAGGATGCATACTACCGGGTTTGCTTCGGATGCTGAATCTGACCTACATTTTCCAGATGAGTGAACAGGTTAAAGTTTTTGGTGCAGGTTTTATTTCCAAGTAACTATAAGCCCTATGTTGACCAAACTTGCATGGATGATACATCTAAGGATACATACTACCGGGCTTGCTTCGGATGCTGAATCTGACCTACATTTTCCAGATGAGTGAACAGGTTAAAGTTTTTGGTGCAGGTTTCATTTCAAAGTAACTATAAGCCCTATGTTGACCAAACTTGCATGGATGATACATCTAAGGATGCATACTACCGGGCTTGCTTCGGATGCTGAATCTGACCTACATTTTCCGGTTGAGTGAATAGTTAAAAGTTTTTGGTGCAGGTTTCATTTCCAAGGAACTATGAGTTCTTTAATGACCAATCTTGCATAGATGATACATCTAAGGATGCATACTTCAGGCTTGCTTCGGATGATGAATCTGACCTACTTTTTGTGGATGAGTGAAAATGTTAGTTTTGATGCATGTTTCATTTCCAATAAACTATGAGCCCTATAATGAGCAAACTTGCATGGATGATACACCTAAGGATGCACACTAATGGACTTGCTTCGGATGCTGAATTGGACATACATTTTTCAGATAATAGACAAGGTAAAAGTTATGGTTGCAGGTCTATTACCAAAAACTATAAGGCTTATATAACATTGTATAAACCAAACTTGCACAAATGCTGCATCAAGAGATGAAAACTCTCAAATTTGCTTCAGATGCTGGATTTTCATTACATTTTCATGAAGATGAAGTAGTTTAAATTTTTTATGTAGGTCTATTTCAAAGTATCAGATCAAAATTGCTTTTAAAAATATTTTCATTTTTGGAATGTATACTTTTTGTTGGTTAATTGTGTGACTTTGCCTTACTTAAAGAAAACATTCGTTGAGGTGAGCTCTGTAATCTCTGATTACCTATGTTTTTTACTTATGGATATTTTTCAATTGATTAGATGAATTTTTTTTTTTCAGATGCTGTAAATATCCATCCTGAAACGTTTATGGCATACATGAAAAATGGGAAGACAACAGTTCGTCATGCACGAGGGATCGTTGTTGGTTGTGCTGGAGCTGGGAAAACAACACTTCTGTACAGACTGATGGGGAAAAGTCTCGATGAAATCAAAGAAATAAAATCCACTAGGGGTCTCCATGTCTACGAACACATATTTTCTGTGAAAAACGGAGATTTAACAGGTAGTGTTCTTCAACCAGCTATGAATATAATTATTGTTAAAAAAATATTTTAGTTAATATACAATTAATGAACGTAAATATTTTTTTGCAAATTTGCCAAATTAGTTTTACCTCCGTTCTTTTATTTTGTTAGTTTTATTTTGGCAATCTTAAGATTCAGACGAACGTTTTTATACAACTTATTAGGCTTTTGTTTAGTAATAACTTGACTGTTGATTTTTTGTCTGTAATATCAATATTTAGGGCTCCTGGCGGATATGGCCGGTCGACTGGGGATGCTCACTCCTCGGTATCTGATATCATCTCTGGAATTCCGACCTGTTTACATATCTGTCACAGGTTGAAGATTTTTCCACATTAAATACTGTTCGTTATTTTGACCTTGTTCATTCTAATATAAAGATAAAAATTTAAAGAAAATGTTTTAGTAATTCAAAGCGTCAAAATTGAAATAAAAAGCACTCTCTTTGCATCTTTTTTCCATCCAGGTTAGTTACACACAGTTTCACTTAAATCTTACGAACTGTTGGAAATGGGGCTGAAATCTCACCTGAACACTTTTTTTCTGATAAGAGCTAGGCTTACACGCAAAAATCAGCAAGGGCTGAGGGTGTTACTGTAATAAAATCGAAATGTGTTTGTGAAATACTATGCTCGACAACAACAAAGTTCGAAAAAATATTTTAAGCACATTCAAGGTCTCAAAGTCATTGACCTTAATGACATATGAAAGAACTTTATTACTGGAGTATACTTACCAATTATGAAGTCTCTATCTTTCATGGTTCAAAAGTTATGGCGAAGGTTAAAGTTTGCAAACACAGAAACAGACAGACAGAGAGAACAAAAACAATATACGCCTCGGAACTGTCGATCCTGGCGCATGAAAAATAAATGTGCTTTAAAAGAGGACCGACCATAGTTTCTATTGCGAATCATAGTAAAATGAAGCGTATTTACGGTTTTAATCCAACTTTTTTCGCTTAATTCTTAACATTAAGCAAAATTTAGAAATTATAGGTAAAAAATATAATTAAAAATTGATATTAATGATTTTTTAACCGATTTTGCAATTGATAGGTCGGTTGACGTCGTTTCAATGTGTTTTTAACGTTATAATAATATGCAGCTCTGAAAGAAAGGTGTAATAAAAATATTATTAAAGAAAAAGTAATGAACATTGGCTCTTGAAATTTGAAATATAGAAATTTGAGAATATCTCCAATATTTTTATTATGTTTTCATATGAATCCATTGTGTGCATCATATTTGTTATCCTCTATAAAAATAGTAAAATTTGCTTATATTTTGCATTTTGAGATGCCCCCTCTGGTAACAAGATGGTAGAATTTTGTGTTTCTTACATATATTGTATAATATAGTATTACTCATCAAATATAGTTTCAACAAAATGTCTATTGTAGTATTTGTATTATTTGCTTTAAAGTGCTAAAAATTAGCATTTTCATATATAATCCTATAGTAAATGTACATGTATTTTGAGACGGTCCCTCAAAAATACCTGGACGGTAGATTTCCCTCAAACTTTGCAAGTTAATGAAATTTATATATGGTATAAAAATGAAGATTCTCGCTATTGTAGTTTTCACACAATAAAACTATAGTCGGCTATAAGTGGAAATATTTTAAGAGAAATTTAATTTTAAATTAATAAAAGGTATCATTGTGTAAAAAAAAAATTAAGTGGACTTTTTTGTTTTATGACGTCACAAATTATTCGGATTTAATAGGGTTTTATCCATCAAATTCATATATCACAGGTCTGCTTGATCAATATTTTTATTTTACATTATATCAAAGTACTAAGTTGAAGCAGACCTGTGTTTGGTTACTTTTACTCAACATGTCGAGTAATATAATTATTTTATCTGAATAATTCATAGAAATTTGGAATTTTTGTCCTTTTCTGATGGCACATCGAACATATAACCTCAGGTTTTTTGAAAATATTCAGCGCTTTGGAATCTAAATATACATCACCCTGTTTTATAACACTTCATATTTCTCCATCAAAGTTTGAATTTGGAGGCATTACCGAATTTGGTCCTTTATTTTCAATCCTTACAGAGTAAGCAACAATATTTATTTATTATCTTAGAGACAAAATCTAAATTTTCTTTAAAAACCATTTTTCTTACAAAAATTGATCACTGATTTCGATTTGAGCTGAATATCGCCAAAAAATGAAAATAAATGGTCTTAAAATATCTATATTTTAGCGAAATATATGTACATGTATTGTAGCTACGGACGATGAGTTCTTAAGGAAACCATTGATCAGAATTCCAGCATCTGAAATTCAACAGAAGGGATCAAGCCCCAATGACGACTCAGTGAATGTAGAAATGGGGATAGAAACTGAAAACAGTTCTAGCTTGGAAAACAATAAGGTTGATCAGAGTACTGGAAAAGAATTAAATGTAAGACAGAATACTGAACCGGGTTCACAGAAAAATGAACCAGATGATCTACAACCTACAGAGAATAAAAGAAGAAAAATGCATGCCGGAGAAAATGACGGTATTGATGAACAATTGGCAAGGGATGTAATGAAAAAAATATTGGATGCCAAGGAAAATGAAATAAGTGTCAGCATGATTGACTTTGCTGGACAATTTGCTTATTATGCTTGTCATCAGATCTATATGAGATCAGAAGCATTCTACGTACTAGTGTTAGATATGAGTAAAGATTTCGAAAACTTTGTTTGTTGTGAAAGAGATGAATGCCGGGGCTCCATCTTCTCTACTTGGACATATAAAGGTACGTTTTGAATTCAGAAACAAGACTATAAAATATTTTAACTGACAACATCCTGTTCTCTTGAATAAAAGGTCAAACATGAATTCATGAGACTGCTCATATTTTTTGTACAATTGAAAAATTACTACATCAGTTGGAGAAACCTCATGTGATAGATTGAGTATGGCATGTCAGAATATATATCTGAAGAAATCTGAATCGTTGGTCATTTTCAATGATTTTATATATACAGACACTGTATATAGTTTATGTGTGTAAGTGAGAGGGTGTGTGTGTATGTGTTTTCCTTAATACATATTATACAATTTTTATATATACAGTTTATGTGTGTAAGTGAGAGGGTGTGTGTGTATGTGTTTTTCTTAATACATATTATACAATTTTTATATATACAGACACTGAATATAGTTCATGTGTGTAAGGGAGGGTGGGTGTGTGTATGTAATTCTTAATACATATTATATAAAATTTCCTTGTAGATTATCTTGACTTCTGGCTTGACTCCATAAAATCGTTTAGTGGACCTTCTGCACAAGTTTTTGCGGTGGCTACGCATACAGAGGGCAGGACGGGAGAGGTATTTTACAGTTGTTTGATTACTGTTTCCTAATAAGTTGACTTTAAAGTAACTTCAGTAAATTGCATCAAAGTATCATCCCATTGATAATCTTTTTGTAATATTTATTATTTATAAATGTTGAAGTTGGAGATTATGAAAGAATACCTTGAATACAATCTGCTTGATTTTTTTTTCATTTTAACGATATAATCACAGTGATACAATTTTAAAGATTGATTGATTGTATATTGTTTAACGTTACTCTCGAGAATTTTTCACTGATATGGAGACGTCTCTGTATTCCTGCGAAGGTTTCAAATTTAGACTTATACTCGGCACGCAGGGCCATTGAGCAGTAAGGGTTCTTTACCGTGCCGACGCCTACCGTGACACGAGACCTACGTTTTTAAGGTTTTTTCCGAAAGACCCGTGACTTTGACTTCAGTTACTCCCTATGCTCACGTATTAGGTATGACGCGTGAAGGAATTGAACCTGGGCCTTCCGATCACGAAGCGAACGCTCTACTAGGCTACAATTTAAAAGATAATCTTTTTTACTCATATGTTACGTTTGCTCCAATCTTCAAAAATCTTTCTACTATGGCGCTATCTAGATTCCTAATTTTTTTATAGGAGATATTTTTTGACTCGATCACTATGGCTCGACCAATCAAGAACGTCCTGCGAAGCTATAGTCATTAATTAAGGGTTTCCATCCCTATTGGGACCAAATTCCCTACCCCTAAATATCCGTCAAATAAATAATACTCTGATCTTATATCAAAGCATCTTAAAGTAGAAAAGGATTGACCCGTGAGAAACTTTCAAAAATTTCATGAATTATGCAGTAGTTAACAAATATTGCATTGAAGTCTATGGAGAAACGCGTTTTTTATATCTTTTCAAAATAAAAATTCAAAAAACTTGAATATCAATCAATCCTGCGTTGGATTGATTGATTGATTGTATACTGTTTAAGTCCCTCTCCAGAATATTTCACTGATATGGAGACGTCACCATTGTCGGTGAAGGGCTGCAAATTTAGGCCTATGCTCGGCACTTACGGCCTTTGAGCAGGGAAGGATCTTTATCGTGCCACACCTGCTGTGACACGGGGCCTCGGTTTATACGGTCTCATCCGAAGGACCGCCCCATTTAGTCGCCTTTTACGACAAGCAAGGGGGTACTGAGGACCTATTCTAACCCAGATCCCCACGGGACTTCTGCGTTGGAAAGATTCATTGAAACATTAAAAATAGAATGACAATTTAAAACAATTTTTTTCCAGCTATTTTTTTAAAATTCATTTTTTTCATTAAATTGAAAAGGGGAGATAAGTCTTACCAAAATTTTCAAGGCTAATAGATTAGGACACATCACACTATACATACGAATAGTAATATACGGAAAGTATGTTTAAATAAACCGAGTATTCAATGCCTACATATTTTTTTATGTATTCATTTCATTGAATTTGTTCCTATTAGGAATTGAATACCTTAAAGATATATGCAACGGATATTACCTACTGATAATCTTTCAAGGTATTATTAATTTAAGATTGTAGTGCCAACAGATGTTCGTAGACGAAAAAATCAATAAGTTTTGAAAAGATATCAAATGATAAAAATTCTTTTATAATTTAGAGAAAAGTATACAAAAATTACAAAACATATATTCTAGATGTTTTTTTTTTATCCAAACTTGTTTTAGAAGAAGTGTACAACGGCTTATATAGACATTAAACTGTATGATATAGTTCCTTCTAGTGTTGGAACTTTTTAACTCCAGGGAAAAAGACGATAACGTTCTAATACGTTGAGTATGCCCTTAATAAGTAATTCATTTTCATGATTTGTGTCGGTATTGTCCAAGGAATTTAAAACCAATTTTGATGACTGATTTTCAATATTTTTAAAACAGGAAATAGACTCCTTTTGGGAGACTCTTTGGACAATAATAACAGAAGATGATAAGACCAGGCTTTATGACAGGGACTTTGCATTAGGACTAATAGAGATGAATGAGGAAGCAAAGCATGTTCTGCAAAGTTTAAAAAAATCAATTTCTGAAGTAGTTTCACAAGGCATGGATACGAAGATAGAAGTTCCATCAGCATGGGCTCTTCTTGAACATCTCTTGCAAAAAACAGAAAAGCCAATCTTGTCTATTAGTGACATCAACAGAGAGAATATGAAACTTCCGGAAGAATATCAGTTGAAAAACCAAGAGGAACTAATTGATTTTCTGTCTTTTTTCCATGGACACGGGTTTTTACTCTTTTTTAAGGAGGAGGGACTGAAAACACATGCAGTTCTAGGCATACAGTGGTTTTCTAACGCATTCAGTAAACTTATTGCTGACAAGGAGCACATTAATAGAGAGTGTAAACGAAGATATATTGAAGACTGGAACCGTTTCAATGCCACAGGAAATCTGAGTAATTTACTGGTAGATGCTCTATGGAAAGAAGAATCGTCATTTATAGAACACAAGACACTACTTATGTCATACATGGAGAGATTACGGATGTTAGTCAGCATAAAAGGCAAATTCTCCTGGTATGTCCCCTGCATGAATCAAAAGCCTTTCACACACGACGTCTTTAAACAAACAATGGAGAAGTCGTCCATTCTTTGTTTTCGATTCACTTCCTTTGCCATGTTCGTATACTACAGGCTTATTGCATATTGCATGAGTTTCCTGAAGTGGAAAGTGCAGCTCGATAAGGACAAAAGTCAATGTCTATATCACTCAGCAGCGATATTCGAAACCGAAAATCACACAGTTATCGTTGGTATAATCGATAACGATATCCAGGTGCAGGTGCTGCGGATTAATGATCCACAACTTAAGGTTTCCTGGAAAACTGGAAAATCCATTCAAACTGCCTTAACAGAATTGACAGCAACATTTAATGAGAAGAAAACCTTTCAAAAAGGTTATAAATGCCTTAATCTTTTCTGCAGTGAAAAGGATCAAACTTTTATTCCTGAGGATGAAATTTCTGGAAGTCAATGCAATTGTCCTATTGGGAGAGGAAAACATAAGATTGATGTTCAATGGACATTGGGATTTTGGAAAGATGTAGGTATAATCATATTAGCTCAACTGGTAAATGGATCGGAAGAGTTTTTTTTTTTTTTTTTTTTTTTTTTTTTGGTGTTCTTACAAATAATTTTATTGCTTATTGCTTGTTTGTGTTTGATTAACTCTTTACAAATTTACTGTGAAGCAAATACTCTTGATCACGTTATAGAAATATGACGTTAACGTTTCCTCGTAAGGAATCTTTATAACGCGATACAGGTTTCTGTAAAGGTTAGAGTTATTAATTATAATGCAAAATTCAAGTTAGATTATAACTTTTCTTATTTAATGAGATTTTAGCAAGCATAAACAAGAGGCCCATGGGCCACATCGCTCACCTGAGAAGCTTTGACCATTCTGTTCTTTACCAGATTTCCCCCTTGTTATACATAATGCATCCCAACCCTACCCCACTGATCATAATTTAGACATCTTGAAATCTATACTACCCCATGATCCTTCCATGGGCACATATGTTTCAGCTTTTTTGGCCCAGTGGTTCCTGAGAAGAAGATTTTCAAAGATTTTTCCTATATATTTCTATGTAAATATTTGATTCCATTTAATGGCCCCACCCTTCCCCTGGGGGTCATGATTCCTATAATTAAGAATTTACACTACCCCAGAATGTTTCCACATAAGCTTCACTTTTTCTGCCCCAATGGTTCTTGAGAAAAAGATTTTCAAAGATTTTTCCTATATTTTTCTATATAAAACTTTGATTCCCCATTGTGGCCCCGCCCTTCCCCCGGGGGTCATTATTTGAACAATTTAGAATCTACATTATACCTGGATGCTTCCACATAAGTTTCAGCTTTTTTGGCCCACTGGTTCTTGAGAAGAAGATTTTCAAAGATTTTTCCTATATATATCTATATAAAAATTTGATTCCCCATTGCGGCTCCGCCCTTCCCCCAGGGGTCATTATTTGAACAATTTAGAATCTACATTATACCAGGATGCTTCCACATAAGTTTCAGCTTTTCTGGCCCACTGGTTCTTGAGAAAAAGATTTTTAAAGATTTTTCCTATATATATCTATATAAAACTTTGATTCCACATTGTGGCCCCGCCCTTCCGCCGGGGGTCATGATGTGAACAATTTAGAATCTACATTATACCAGGATGCTTCCACATAAGTTTCAGCTTTTCTGGCCCACTGGTTCTTGAGAAGAAGATTTTCAAAGATTTTTCCTATATATTTCTATGTAAAACTTTGAAACCCCATTGTGGCCCCGCCCTTCCCCCGGGGGTCATGATGTGAACAATTTAGAATTTACACTATACCAGGATGCTTCCACATAAGTTTCAGCTTTTCTGGCCCAGTGGTTCTTGAGAAGAAGATTTTCAAAGATTTTTCCTATATATTTCTATATCAAACTTTGATTCCCCATTGTGGCCCCGCCCTTCCCCCGGGGGTCACGATTTGAACAATTTAGAATCTACACTACCCCAGGATGCTTCCACATAAGTGTCAGTTTTTCTGGCCCAGTGGTT